TCAATGACTGAAACAGAATGGATAAATAACACCCTAAAAATCAAGGGGAAAAAACATAAAATCCTAACTGAAAGTAGATCTTAAGTTTTTGAAGAAGTACTTACAAAAAAAAATCACATTTAAACTGACAGTCAATACACAAAAAGACATTCAACCACATTAGTATTATATAAATAAATATTAGACCCCAAATTTTATACTATTAACCAAAGTACCTAAACTAAACAGACTGGTAATTCTACTCCAAGTTATTTGCACTAAAATACATGGGTTAAAATGTTCATATTAGCAGTATTCATAATAAACCCAAATTTAGGGTATGAATTCGCAAATGGGAAGAAGTTCATTCCAGGTGAGGAGGTCCTACAATGCTAATGCACTAAAGATAAAGCATATTGGTGTGTAGAAAGAGTGAGGAACTCACTATTACTTTAGTCACTAAAATGAAGTCAGATCACATAGGTCTAATCTCATGAGGTCAGCATTACTCTGATTAAAGAAAAAACAAAGACAACATAAGAAAAAGTAAATAGAACTACAGACCAATACGCCTGATGAACATAGACTCAAAATCTATACAGAATGTTAATAAATCAAATCCAAAAACAAATAAAAATATAATACATCAACCATATTTGGTTTTATTATTAGAAAGCAGGTTTGATTTAACATCTGTGCCTAAATGACACAGTTCATCTAATTAACATAATAAAAAGCATAAATGCTGTGATTTATCAAAATTTAACATTTTTTCATGACAAAATATCTCAACAAACTAGAAATAAATTTCCTCAATATGGTTAAGTACGTTAATGGAAAATCTGCTCCTACAATCATTATCAATGATGAAATACTCAATGCTTTCTTCTTAAAATTAGCAACAAGGCAAAAAGACCTGCTTTCATCATTTTTATTTAAGCTTATTTTGGACATTGTAAGCAGTGAAATACAACAGGAAATAAAATAAAATATCTATAGCTGACAGATATATATGTTTATGGGTAAAGACCTACAGACCCACAGGAAAGGAAGAAGTAAAATGGTCCTTATATGTAGATAACCTGATCCACATATAGACATCCATCTGTAGTTTAGTAATAATAATCTAACTTATTCTGCTATATAATTTTTAGTTGTGACTACTGTACAATGCCAATGTTAGATGCTAACATTAGGATATACTAGGGAAAGATACATGAGATGTCTCTGTAATATCACCATGACTTTTCTGTAAATGTAAAATGATCACAAAATATTAAGTGCATTTAAAGTGAAAGCACTATCATTAGAAATCAAAAAACGCAAACTAAAACATGAGATACCACTTCATATCAATCAGCATAATTAAATTTAAGAAAATTTGTTACATTATTAAATATTGGCAAGAATATGTAACAACTGGAAATATTATGTATAATGGAGGGAGTGGAAATGTTATAGTCAATTTTAAAACATCGTGGCAATTTCTTACATAGTTCAACAATAGTTGACCATATTAAGGTAGAAGGCCAATTTTACATTACCCACATCACCCTTTGCCCAATCCAGGCAACATACTGCAAAAAGATATATGCTGTGATTGGGGAAAAGAGAGGAAAGTAAGCAAAAGACTTTATCTAGAAATCCAACATTAGACTGTGAAGAAAAAACTCAGCAATGAGAAGACTCCATCTCAATATCCACAGACTGAGCCTTTAGACCCACCCTAAGGTTAGGTGGGGCTTTGTAGCCCCAGGCTTCAAACCTTCAAGGCAGATTCAATTTCTAGTCTGCACCACTAAAAGGGTCAAAAGCCCTAGGCTTCAGAACCAAGCCAGATGGCCTGCCCAGAATCTTTGGACAGGCTGATTATTGAAGGTCTTTTTTG